ATACTCCTAATTAGATACTTATGTATTTACTTTACATAGCGTATAATAAAATGGTAGGAAAGTGAAAACTAAACATTGAATATTTTTGTAAATATTCGATGTACAGTTTTTACAGAATGGATTCAGGTCATATCTAAAATCGACAATTCGATACCGAAACCAAACATATTGTTTTTAGAATTTCTGTCTGTTTGTCTCTATGTATGTCTGGGGTAAACTCAAAAAGTACTGCGTGGATTTACTTCAAATTTTGCATTACTTACAGGCCGGGTCAGCACATAGGCTATACATAATTATTATCACGGGGGAGGCGCTGTGAATCACTATTTCACGTGGACGAAGTCGCGGGCACAACTAGTTATCATAATAACAGCCCAGCCTATGGTAGTCCACCTCCAATGCGAATCCAGGACGATGGGCCTACTCTGCATGAGAGAGATTTGCCATACTTAATCTCCCCATTTAATAAGGTCTTAGGTTAAAACGTAGTAACTATTAATTAAAATAAATATAGGTAAGTGCATTTTGTAAACCGGTGTTTGTAGTTTGTTAGTAGACAATGCTGACCACGTGTTGGGTTACATTTGCGTCATTCAAGGTATGTAGACCGTGAACTAACATGACTGCATTGTCCGTCAGATCTTAACAGATGATACTTTTGTAAGCTGAAATCTACCACGGCCGCTCTGTGGATGGGAGCTCTTCAATACCATAACAAAAAATTCACTCGATGTTTTGTAAACAAACAATAAACACCAGGCATTGCACTGTATTGTTGTTTTGGAACGACGGGCTCTCGAAAGAAAGTATGTAAGCAATGACACCACCTGGGGCATCAATAGAGAATTTGACAAGCCAACATAGTGCCTAATACATTTTTCGACAATCAATATCTCCATGAATTTCTTGGCTTGTTTCCAAAATAGGTTTCTGTTTCATTTTATGGAGCACTTCGTCTTATTAACTTATATTATTCAAGAGATCATTATCTAACGAATCTCGTTATTCTAACCACTGCGGCAAAAACCATTCAATAACTGCCGCAAACAGCAAATAACATATTGCCGAAATGTCCGGTAGGGAAAAAACTAGTAGAGCCTGTTAGGTAACATAAGGAATGTGAGTTTGCCATTTTTTAATACTATTAACAATGTTTATTTATTCGGATCCGGTTGTGAACGTGATCAAAATTTTGAAAACCGGCGACATGTGTATTCTCAGCCTTGAGTGACCCTGATTCCGTCAAGTTGTTTATAATGTCATCTCCGATCGATAACTATTAACCCTAACGCTAATAATAGCTTCGATTCGACGAACACACAAAGTAATAAATTACGAGAAAGCTTAGATAAAGAGGTAAACAATTGCATTTCGATTACATTATTTAAATACACCAATGCAGTAAGAACAGAACCAAACAAAACACGATCGATAAACTAAACGCACTGCACTGCTGATAGGCCGAATTCCCGCGTTTTTTCACGTCAATATTACGATAAATACGCCGGAAACGCACTTACAAAATTCAAAAATGTTAACGCCACTTCACAGTAACATTACTACTATTTATTTCCACTTTTTAAAACGAAAGTCACATTTTAACAGAGTTGCGGTAAATAAACAGATGCGACACTTATTACGTTCGTCGCGTAACTGACGACGACCGGCGAGTAGGGAGCACGGCAGGACGCTAGAACGCGCGCCCAAACTATAACCTAGCCGAGTTGGAGTAGTAGGGTGAGCGGGAGCGCACCGTTTGACAGTGGTGTGAATAAAAATAGGGCGGGTTTGTAGCCATTCATGTTAGGGGACGATGCATCTGGACCGATAGCTTCCGCATTCGTCGGCCGCTGCGTAAAAACTACCTGGGGTACAAAACAGTTATTTTGAACGTGTTACTGCGTTAGTGTAGAATATGATTTGTGTTCGCAAGTTTACAATTTTAAACCCATTTTGCCATCGTTACTTATTATTATTTAGGTTAATAAGTATAAGCCATTGAAGTAATAAGGAACTTTTTGAGGGTAGTGCCTATTAGTATGTTCAGACAATAAAATATCACTAAATAGTATAAAACAAAGTCGCTATCCGACATCTGTCTGTCCCTATGTATGTCCATATGTATCTTTAAAACTACGCAACGGACTTTGTTGCGGTTTTTTTAGTAGATACAGTGATTCTTAAGGAAGTTTTATATGTATAATACATGCATATTGCACCCTTGCGAGCAGGGGCCGGTCGCTAGTTAGTTATAAACAAATAACCGTGTTGAACTAAATCTTTGTCGTACTTAATTACCGTGTAGCAATAGAGATCTATTACGTACCACGCGATATTGTTTCAGAACCACAACAATTCGTCCGCTCTATTTATTCCGAAAATTACGCTTAGGGTACTGATTATTTTTATCATATATATTTTTTCTTTTAAATAATTTTAATCGGTATAATAATAATTAAGTTGTATATTAATTTAGTAATAGTTAGTTTTAATTTTATTTAGAAAATTGATTGCTACATACCTACCTAACTGTTCCAACGCAACCTTTTTAATTAGAAAAAATAAGGGCATTTACTTCAATTTTATAAAATAGGTAGTTTTGACTGTCTTTTGGTTTCGAATGAATTTTTCAAACATGAAACAATCTAATTCTGATAGGTAGTAGGTACATACATCGGCAAGCAATAAATTTCACATTAATATTCCCGTTTATTCTTGTTAATCCTAAAGCATCTACTCCAGAGCTTTTACTATTATCACAGAACTTTCAGTCGTCTACTTATAGGAAGTAATTATTAGTGATATTTTTTCTATCATACTAAAATTGAGTCGCGGAGAACCTAACGGGTTACCGGGGCTCCGGCTCGCAGCGCAGAAGGAACGGGGTGGTTTTTAGTCAGTAAGTCTGACACTCCCTCCCGCCTCACCCAGGCGGGAGCAGTCATTCGATGATTTCCCCCCCTTTTAAAAAAAATCATACTAAAATTAAATAGCCCTCGATAACGAATAACTTTACATCTTTAAATTGTTATTAACACAAGAATAAAAATCCAAAAATCTATTTCATACAAACTTTATTTAAATCAAAAAATAAAATCTACAATAATCCTTTTACTTTCAAGTATGTATAGTAATAACATTTGTTTTAGCATCTCATCTAAATTGTTAGCAATTTATTTGCCATAACCCAGTGGTTTGATTACGGCCACATCACCAAGGCATTGATACCCTCCAAGTTACAAAATTGTTACCAATTTTCATCTGTTGACACTCTGTCCCTTACAACACTATAACTGGTCTCATAAACACAACTAAACCAAACTTCTTGATTTCCCAATATAAGCGACAGACTGCCAATCTTAAAAATCTTTACACAATTAGCTTAACAAATTATATTAAATCCTCTTTTACAGCTAAATTACAATGCATAAATTTTATTTTCAATAAAAATACATATCTCAATATATGAAAGAACACTTTTACCTATGTATTTGTTAAATCGGTAACAAATGAGGCACTATTACTTTTTATTTATTTATATTAATATGTACATAACTTGGACTCTTAACTTAACATTACATCTTCAGTCCATTCTTAGGTACATCTATTCAAATCATCTATGTCGCCGTTAAAAAAATATTTTTCATAATATTTTACAGTGTCAACAAAGTAGCATTCACGCAAAACCTTTTTTGGTTTTTAAATAAATCAATGGTCTCATAATCACATTATTTCGATAATTAAATTTAAAGTGGAGATGGATAGTGTAAGATTATTTAACAAATGGATAACTATGAGGAGAGATCGATGAACGAATAAACTAACATGCGTTCATGCACCAACAACTTATTATTAACAGAAATGTCGAGTTTCACGTTTGTGTGTTTGTACAACTATTTTATTTTATGCTAACAGATATGTTCGTAGTGTAAACAAAGTTACTATCGCTCGTTTGAGCTCCGTCACAGTTAACTATACCGGGCACAAGTAACAACAATCAGTAGGGCGTCCCAAAATCAATAAAGCTTAATTAGGAAGTACATAAAACAATTCTTTTCCGAAAAGAATAACTTCACCAATATCTAGCTAATATTCTCATATATAAAATACATATTAGCACAATCTAAACAAATAATTTTGGTGTTAACTGTACAAAAAATTTGTCTGTACATATTCCATAATAATTAGTTATAGCACTCTTAATTAACGTTATATTTCGAGAAAGCACTCTTGGTATAGTTCCGATTAGGTAATATAATAAAGAATTTATATAAATATGTATACTATCAGTATATTAACAAGTAGTCCAAATTTGTATGTCTAAAATGTAGTGTAATTATGTAGAAACGGATATCACTCTATTACATTAAATACTGCAGTGTAAAGCTAAAGTGCCACATGCTTGGGTGATACTTACATTATAGTCAATTATACTATGGTGACTCTCAATTTTACATCAACTGAGTCTCTGATGAGAAGGCTTTATTGCTTAAAACTTGAGTTTCAAAAATGTGATCCTATAAAATATTTATAAAAACTTTAACATGTTGTACTCTCGCTTTATAAGGCAGATTGTCTATCTGAAAGTTACTACGTAGCCTCTGACTCAACGTCTCAACAAAGAAGATCAGATTCACATTTCGCCTACGGTTAAATGCATCATGATAGAAGCTATAAATATAGAGAAAATAAATATCTACTAGGGCTAATAAAATCCTCCTGGTCCACACGGATACTTACACGTTAAATATAGAATATACCTTTGTACTATTGTTTAACGTCGATGGCGACCAGCGACCCCGGCGAGGCACCGGGGTTGTGGCGCCCCGAGCGGTCCACGGACAGAGTCACCCACCTCAGCGAACTACCTACTGCCTACCTACTCCCGAGGCGGCGATAAAAATAAAATAAAACAACAACAGAAAATCAACCGTATACGACGCAGTCATCTTTGGATCCGACGTCGGACCAAGGGCGCGGAAATGCTATGCTCAGCCGCGCTACTTGGCTAACCGTCGGCGCAAGCGGTTACGTAGCGCTAGTGCCGGCGCCCACGGGCCCGTCGCTCGCTTACCCAGCGCCCGCGCGCAACGCTCAGGCGCCAGCCGCGCAGTCTTACTCGCGCCACCGCCACCGTCATCTCCGCACCGCGTGCGCTTGCATGCTCCTTGATCTCGCACGGAGCGTACGGGCTCTGCTGTATCGTTACGCGAACGTAGCGCTCGTGGCCTGGCAGGAGCTGCTGGCGCGGGTGCTCCAGCGCATGCCGACGGTGGAGGCGGCTCCGTGGTGGTGGAGTGTACCTCGGAGTCGTCGCGTGCACTATCCGCGCGTCTTGTTCGCGGGCGGGCCGGCGATGGGTGCGAGGGGGGCGACGGGTGCGAGGGGTGCGGGTGCGACGGGGGCGGCGAGGCGGCGGGCACGGCGCGGGCGCGCGCGCGGCCCCTCGCGGCGCCGAGGTTCTCCTTGGAGCGGTCGGGAGGCGGGCGGCGCGCCGCCGGAGCCCGCCGCGCCGGGCCCGGGGCGCGCGCCGAGTTTCCCGCCCGCGCACCTGCCGCAGCCGCGGCCGCCGCCGCCGCGCCTCGCAGCTCGCGAGCGTACAGCCCGATGCTGCGGGTGATTTTTTGTGCCAATGGGGTTACGACTGGGGTGCCCTGAGATCGCGTAGCACGAGTACCATTCCTCTTGGAATCTTCGTCGATGGTCACGCTTTCCACAGGTGCTGGAGCGATGCGTCTCCCCGCAGGTTTGGTGTCCCCGGTCGCCAGACGATCGGTTCTGGGCGGTGGCGGGGGTGCTGGAGTTGCCGGCGCCGCAGGAGCCCGCCTGGTGATGATGACGACGCGGTCCATGGGTGGCGCCGGCGCAGGAGTAGGTGCAGGACGGGCGCGCGTGGCCTGGCGCGTGTGTGGGCGCTGCGGGGGCTCGGGCTCGTGGTGGGAGCGGAGCACTCGGTCGGGGGCTCCGGCTGATTGCTCGCGCTTCACTTCCGTGCGGGGCCGACGCCCGCGAGGTTTTGGTGGACCCTCTGTTGGTGAACTTGAAGAAACTTCATTGATTTGTATACCACCATCGTCATCTGATGTATTTCCAGATTCCGTAACGGATGTGGAGGATTCACTGGAGACCGTGCGGGGCGGGAGAGGAGGACGGTTGGCGGTGGATGCGTCAGATTCTGCATCGAGTTCGGGCACCACGGTGGCTGAAGCGGCTGCAGGCTCGCGAGATTCCGAGGGCTCTCGTTGAACCGGGCTACCGGCGATTTCGTCATGAACAGCCGACAAAGTATTGATAACGCGTGTTCGATTCAGAAGCCGAGCCATAAAATATGATTCAGCTGGATTTCCATAATTCACAATGGCATCACTGTCTTCAGTATCCGACAAATCCCGTGGCGGCGTGTCATCAGGCGCCGGAGTGGACAAGCGAGTGTCAATCGTGGCGCAGGGCGGCAGGGGAGTGTCGGGCGCGGTCGGCGTGGCGGGGGCGGAGGCCGGGGCCGCGGCGCGCTCCGCGTCCGAGTAGCGCGTCATAATGGTGAGCCCGTTCTGCGGCACGGCGCCGGGCGGCGGGTCCGGTCGCGCGGCGGGCGCGGCGGGGGCGGCAGGCTGCTGCGGCCGCTGCGCGCTGCTGCGGGAGCGGAGCACGGTGGCGCGCGGGGGCCCGGGCGGGTCCAGCATCAACGTCACCACCGACGTGTTGTCCGCGCGCATTCTGGTGTTGGACCATCTACACAAAACAATACACCATACCATTACACATCTTAAAAACAAACCTATAATAAAGTATAAAAAATTAAACCATCACATTTTCTTACCTCTCCAGAGCATGATCCACTAGACTCTTGGAAGGGTTCAACCAGTCCCTCGGCTGGTTTCCGTTTCCACCTACGAGAGCGGCTTCATTGTGCCGCTCTGTCGCCTGAACTAAACTGACGGCGCCCTCTGGTGAGATCATATTCCACAGGCCATCAGTGCCGAATATCAGACATCTGGAATTATGGAAAACACCATTATACTCCACAATAAAACATGTAGGAATTTTCAATAAAAAATAAGACTGAAGTTGAAATTGTATGAGTTAACAATGAATTAAAGACTTATTAGATAGACCTTGCCATAGTAAATAAAAAAAAATAACTCACCGAAATTTGGACGGATCTATAGTCAAAACACCGACATCAGGGTCGGGACTGACTATAAACTCATCATTTTGAGGATTGTAACTCCACAAGTCACCAAGTGACCTTGCTACTGCTAAGAATGGAATCTCATCCATAGGTGTATTCTTCTTGATAGGACCCTTGTGTCCTAGTCGTGGTCTGTTCCACACAACTCGTGGGACTCCTGCCTTTGAGACAACCTTCCCACCACATCTTTGGATGCGCTCTATTTCAGTTGTGGATTCTGGTTTGTGGTCTGATGTCAATGGTTTTGCAGCCCACTCCTCACAACCTACGAATAATGAAGATATTTTTGTTAATTATCATTTATGGCCTACTCACGTAATTTTTTGAGATCGTATCGTAACTTAACTAGTTTCAAGTTTTATTTCTCTATAACGTGAAACGATACGAAATCCAACAGGATTTTGGATCGTTTCGCACGTTATGATGGCTAAAAATGGGTTCCCAATCATAATGCTATTCTTCATATTAAAAGTTATACATATATTCCAAAAAAACAACCTCAAATTAGATAAAACGAAACTTTATAACCATTGACAGTCAAACTCGTATTGTATATGGTGTAATATCATTACATAGTATAAAACAAAGTCGCTATCCGCCGTCTGTCTGCCCCAAGTATGCTTAGATCTTTAAAACTAAGCAACGGATTTTGATGCGGTTTTTTTTTAATAGATAGAGTCATTCTTAAGGAAGGTTTGTATGTATAATACATGTAGTTTTGTGTAATCGGTAAAACGAACCGTAAAATTAAGTCATTATGTCACTGTCATTTGGTCATGTCCATTTCGTTTCTCCACGTGTTTCGTAATAGACATGCTATGTGTTTTGTGACATTTTTAATGTTTAATATTGTTTCTAAGAATACTTCTGCTGCTTCTTTCGGACTTTAGCTTTCTCTTTGTATTTGATTTTTTATACCCCCATCTATACACTGCCTCTGTAACCTGGCGCTAGGCCCTTGCCTTAGAGAGAATACGGTTCTGCTGCCTACCCTACACGATTCGTCAGCAGTACTATCGAAAATGACGATTCTCATTTATCAAGCAATTCTGCGGACGCACCAATGACAAAATATTCTACAAATAAAACGGTAGAATCCTTTATTTACCACAAAGGGCGGTAAAGCCAAATGCAAAGTAAGTCGAGCCAATATGCTCAAAAATACAGTTGTGATGAAACCTGTGAAAAATGGTAAGATATTTTGGAAAGAGGACATTGCCTCCCTGTGTCAACGATAAGTAACTGGTTCAATCACTATTGAAAGTTAATTGTCAAATAACAGAAATATAAACAATCAGTGAAAGGACATATTGGAGGTATGGACAAAGTTGTACAAGTTCATGCAAGTCAATTGAATAAAAGAAAGAACAAAAAATCTGGAACCGAAGGTCTCTCGATGCTAAGAATGATAATAGGATGGGAATGAGGATCTTCCTCTAAAAACCAGCACAGATAATGTTTTTTCTGCTGAAGTTTTGTTACCCTTGATAAAAAAAACATGCAGCTGAGGCTAGTAACATGATTACAGATCCTTTCCAAGCTTATAATTGTCTGGGAGACAACGGATACATTCACCGTACTAACCACAGTGACGAATAAACCCTACTGTGGCTGAAGATAATACATTCTCAAAGAATACATTCACATTGACAGTGGTATACCATCGAATGGTTCAATGGTCCAAGGATAGTTATTCTGACAATAGTTTCAATATGGATGATTTGATCTAAAAAGAAATAAGAAGAAGATTTTTAGAGAGAAGCGAAGTAAAAATGAATAAACATGATCCTTTGAACATCTTATTCATGTATTAAATCATAGTTTCAAAAATCATAACCCTTCCTTATTCCTGGCTGCAGCTGAATAATAGGTTTAAAAAATAATATTGTTGTTCTTATTTATCGGTTAAGAAGAAATTAAGCCTTTTTCTATATAAAACGCAGCTACATTTGAAAGATTGTGTGAGTACAGGATATGGGACATCCCAACTCATATAGATAGGTTTATGTTTTACAGACCCAGCTTTTAACAAACATTTGATTTAACTGCTTGAATGCCTGTATATGAGACCCAATAGAAAATACATTGTGTCTCACGTAGATCCATGTTCAGACACATGACGGGTTAAACTTTTCTTGGAAACAGAGAGTTATTATAATAAAATACTTTTTTCAATCATTATGTCATGGAACAGAAAAGTTACTCACCATCTTTCTGGTAACCGAGGACAATCGCTGAATCCCCAACATGTCCAATATATATTTTCCCACGGCGTATAAAAGCTATGCTTGCCGTAGTACCTGCAGTGCTTGGTAACCCTGTTACAGTTTTTGGCCATTTTTCTGTAATAAAACATATTTTTTTATTAAATAAATGTTTTTATAGAATTTGACGATATAAATGTGAATTGTATTCTACTCATAGTATGCCTAACATGTATAAATACATGATTTGTATTTATTTGAATATCAGTAAAGGCTTTCACCTCGATTTTAATAAATATTTGAGTACTGAGTGTTTGAAATTTCAACAACAAGGCTCTTTTTTTCTATCATAAAACTTTATTACCTAGTCACTGTTTTCACTTAAAATGGCTTAAAAATCTACAAAGCATTGTATTCTAATTAACATTCATACCAATCATAGAACAACTTCGAAATGGTATGCGGTCTAAACTTTTACAAAACCTATATTAAGTACTCCCAAAATAGTACTTATAATTGTAAAAATAAAGGTATTAAAACCTTTTTACTGCCATTCATACTGGCGATTTCCTTTAAGGTTTCTGACCTGCAATATCCTGATAAAGGTTAAAAGAACAACAGTTCATGAAACTTTCAGTTTTTATTGTTACCAATAGTTAACACGAGTTTATCCTGTTATCATTGAACAACAAACAAACATGTAAATAAACTTTATCCAGATTAAGTTCTGTATAAATATGATTATATTATTATCTTCATACCTTTGCCTCAATTTTATGATTCATAACTTGCTAAATAATATTTTTCTAATGAGACTTTTGGAGACCCCAATTGCAAACCCCAACAGATGTTATATGGGAATTTAAGTCTGTTTGTAACCTCTTCATGTTCTATAACAAACTTTTTGAATGTTTTCATATATATAGAGGTATAGAGCCAGAGATAAAAGTTTGTGGTATATTTCCAACTAGCCAAGGAGTCTCTTATACAATCAGATACATCAAACTATAGCCAGAATTATTTGGTTTGTAATACTATTTTAAGATTTTATAACAGCATTCTCAATTCTCCAACTACTGAATGCTTCATAATAATATGCTAAGTTTGCATACAGCTTTATATAGTGTTTACATGGTTTTACCCTTGATATGCCTTGTATTACTTCTTTAAAGAACTATGTATGTACTCATGATAACAGAAATTAAAGAACATAAAGCCTTTGACAGACAAAACAATAACATTCTAGAACATGTATGGAATATATGTGGAATTTTTATTCTCATTGGAATTAGGTAAGATTTTAACAATCTCTGTAAGTTCTTAATACATTTTAAGTTGCTATAATGACCTTATACATAACATTTTCGTAAGTGGAAACTTGAGCCAATATAAAAACTCGAACTGGTAAAACTGCTTTCACCTGGGTAACGTGAGTGGGATTCCCAAAAAAACTTAGCAAAACATAATTTGTTTCACTGGCCATTATCTAACAAAGCGATGTTACGGACAATAACGACAATGACCATTCGAAAAACTTCTGTAAACTCAATGTCAAACCACTCAAGAAAAAATTATGAATAACTTCAACAAGGTCAAGCTAAACATTCGGTTCTGTCGCTTGGAACTATCCTTGATAATAGGCAAAGTTAAGTTTTACAGCACGACATCCTAATTAAGTTATTCAATAACGTGAAATTTGGTGTTTACCTAACTCTTTCCACATGTTCAAGTGGGTCAACATGTAACCATTTCTGATTGCTTTGAGTACATCCTCATCGTTGTCCGACCAGAACTGCCTCTGCTTCACGATAGAGTCCATCAAATGCTCCTTCGCAAAGGCTGCAGCCTCACTCCCGCCATGGCCATCATATATTCCGAAGAAAGCATACTCCAAGTCTCTTTCGTCTTCAGTTTGTTGATAAGCAACGGAAAACAAGTCTTCCATATACTTTCTCCCGCCTTGGCTGCAGTGGCCAGTTACACGTAAATTGACACCAATAGACGCAGGCATTTTAAAACTACAACACTACAACTTACAATAACAAAATATTTATGATTTCATTGTAACACAAACGTTTCTTTCCTGTACATTTTGCATTTGCAATTACGCGAGTCGACTGACGACAGATCACGTGGACATATTGATCACTACGCGTGCCCAGTGCTTTACGAGAAGTTCCATGAGATAGAAAGAGATAAATATAGAGTTGTCGTTGCCTCTTAACAAGAAATAGACGCCATCATACTTTCCGCCATTTTCGTACAAGCTCACGTTGACCTTCTTTTAATTAAAAACAGAAATAATTCCGAATTATTTTCATAGCTAATTCCAAATTAATAAAAATATATTTAATTTTAATAATTAGCTTTTTATACAATGCTTTAAAATGAACAATTTATATTAATAAGTATAAAGATTTTTTCATTTTTGTAGCATTTTGAAGTAAGAAATGACGTTCAGAAATTGAAAAGATTGCAAAAGATACTTTTTAATGTTAACGTTCCGAAACGAACCTACCTGTGTTTGAAGGAGTCTAAAATGTATTTGAATAATAATAAAAAAATAGTATAAAACAATCTAATCTTATTAGATTTCTCCTACACGCCTATTAGATTTGTCTTTCTACATAATAATCTCTTACCTATTTATAATAGGACTTAAAATTCCTCCTTGAGTTCCTCAATGAATATTTTTATTAGGAATCGAGTTGATATCTATGTTGCCCTGTAATTTATGTATTTTTGTTTTGACTTTGAACTGCATATAGTCAAAATGTGTTAAATTCTTATAACACATACAAAATAAAACTAAAAGTAAGCATATACCGACACAGTCATTTATTAAAAAAATCAAAAATATTCATAGCTTATAAAATATCACGATGAAGTCTAATACCGCGCTGATATAATCCAGAAATAAACTTAATAACTTTCATCGCTTTGCTAATAACAGGCTGAAAAGAAAATGAAAAATATTAAATAAGTATTTCAGATAGGTTTTACTCAATACGTAAAATTATAATTTTTTATTTATACCTACATCTTGTTGTATAATTAATAATTACCTTTCCTTGTATACGAATCGTTCTGTATGATTTTCTTTGAACCAAAACTGTTTTCATTCTGGCTTTGAATCTTTCGAAATCCATTTATTTATGACAAGTAACAAAAAACATAGGAAAACATTAAATAAAAATCTTCAAAAGAACAATAAAAACGATTATTACGAACGAAAGTAAAATAATAGTAATTTGTTTGCTCTGTTCTGACAGAACACCTGACATTCTGAATGAAATAAGGCCAGAGTTTTTATTTTTTATATATATTCGACCTCATTATATAAACTGCCTAATTTAAAAAGAACAAAAAATGCAAATTGTTTACATTACTTCCCTCTTTTCAATATTAAAATTAATGTCTCCAGTATCCAAAATTATCAATGTGCTTAATAGGTGACTACCTGTAAAAAGTCTAATAACAAACTTGTCAAATGCTGATTCATGCAATGAATATCCATAAAAAAAGAGGGCAAACAAGCGGGTAAATAATTTGTTTGTCTGGCAACCAGAACCTAGACCTACCTACCTACTAGTACAGTTAATTGGTTAACAACTTAGGTTGGGCGGAAGTAGGCATTATTATACTCTTCGAGCAGGCATTAACATCGTTCCACATGCACCACTTGAGGAAGGAAATCGATTTGCAAGAGGATTTCCGTTGTGTTACAAAAAAAGAATGACAAGAAACATAAATAAAAAAAAAAAAATTTCATTAAACATTATTTACTTTCTTTTTATTTACCTACTTACTACTTAATTACACCTATAATAAAATTTTATTCCTCAGCAACCTCCCATGGTTTTTCTGGTCGAAGTAAGTCCCACGGACTTGGTTTCTTGTAGACTTCAGGTTCTTCCAATTTGATGCCACCATTGACAACCTCTTTGATGAATCTGTCGACTTTCCCACCTTCTACTGGCTTTATATCACAATACATCTCAGTAATACCGCTTTCTAAACACCGTTGAGCGAAGACTTTGCCTAAATTGATGTATGCGCATGTGTCCTTGATGCTGTAGAGCTGTTTACGTAGAGCCCATTCTGACGTTTTAGCTTCTATTACTGGACCATTCACGAAATGGACTACTTGGGCTGTTACTGTGCGGTTGCTTGCTATTAGTGTGAGCCTGGAATTGAATAATGAAATTTTTATTTATTTTTCGATTGCATGAAAGATTTATTCATTTAATTACTAATATCAGATCGCCTTAAAATCTATATTTTTACCACGAAATTCAATATTATTATACACACTTATGCCAGAATTTCCTGCCTGGAGCTTCCAAGTGATAACCATCAGGTTTGCGAGCGATCCTTATTTTTTCCAAGTTCCGAGGGTTTCTGTTTATAAATTCTGCTGGAGCTGTTGAACTTGATCTAGACAAGCTGGGCGCTATTAGTAATCTTTTGATGTTATTCATAATTACTTTTTAATGTTTTGAATATTACAATCGAGAATAACCTAAGTTCCAGAAAATGTATTTGATTCGACTTGACAGATGTTTGACATTGATTGACTTCTATCATTGTCAAAATGACAATAGAAAAGTCAATATCCGGACCTGCTGCTAGGGATGCATTATTTCCGGACTTGGTATGATTTACCGTAAATGGGTTACGGTAATGAAAATATGAATTTGAAATATGGTTGGACATCTAAACCTCTATAAAAAACAACTGCCTCTGGAACATATTATAGAAATTATGATAGTTATACATACATGCCTATGTTGGAAAAAAGCTTTGAAATACTTCAAAATAATGTAGAGCTCCTTATTGCTGGTTATTGTCATGATATTGCACTTATCTCTTTTTTTCTGCCGAGGGAGGAACATTTTTGAGAATACGAATAATCCTCAATTAAACAACAAAGTGTAGTAAATACCGTACAGAAGATAAAACCGGTAACCGTCATTTTAATTTTTAATGTCAGTCTTTTATGTATTGATGCAAGTCGCATCACTAAAAATGACGTACATTCTTGCTTGTATTCAATTCACTTCACTCGCCCACCCACACGTTGAGTTTTGATAAGGAAAGTATTAGTTTGTATTTATTCTGGGCACGTCTTGTTACCATAATCGCCACAGTTCTCGGCTATGTTGCGGTCGCCGGAGTATGTGCACAGCAGCGGTTTCTCTGTGCCAATTGTATTGTGAAGTTGTGTGATTGTGGACGGGCGTGAGCTTGCGGGGCACTTGCATACATGTTTTGTAATTAATTTGCACGCCCACTTCGCGGTCGACTGTGGTGGTTGCTGTGTAAGTGATGGTAGTGAGCCGAAGGTAGAAAAAGTGTGGATTGTTGTTAAATATGTCGCTGCAGAAGAGTGTGAAAAGTGCGGGAGGTGATAGAAGCGAGCAGGGGGATACAACATCGATATGTTCGTCGGTGACAACGCAGCCGGACAGGCACGGCTTCTTCGGAGGTGCTCAGTACAGTCCAGAACCGTAAGTAAACAGTGCCAGTATCCTACATACGAACAAACTACGTAAACTATTCAGTTGTGTTGTTTATCAAAACGCCATCTACATAATTGGGCCGAGATTGTTGTTTACTATCTTTTAGCAGCATAAACAAAGTTAGTATGCAAGAAGAATCTGATAAAAAGTTTATTTGCGTAGTTTTAGATCAATTTTTGGCAAAACTACACCTGTCTTACATTGTTCTTGGCCTTTAGAATGCAAAAGCTTTGATTTTGAATACTTACATATTTTTTTCTTACCAATTAAAAAGTTTAAATCTGATTCCAACTAGAGCCTTTCATTTATTTACAGTTTTAAACTAATCTAAACAGAAAACAAAAGCACCCAACATACAAACCAGTATTTGTACCGACTTCTTAAAATACTACATTTTATTGTCTCATCAAAAACAGCAGTTACACATGAGTAATCATTGGTTTTGAAACCATATTACATTACAGCTAAATGTTGCAAATAGTCAACGCCCCACTATCAAATTACTATGACAAAATTACTGAGTCATAAAGGATATAAATCATAATTATTATAAACTTGATTTCTATAATCTGTGCATGTTTGTTATCAAGAGAAATGTAGTAAAAAGGTTTTATTCATAGATTCCTTGTCCTTGGATAATGTGTATTATTTATTGTATCTTTGCTTATTGTAGTTAAAAAAATATTTTTATAAGATGAAGCTGCTAAGCAATTGATGAATGAAGCGAGTCATACTTAAAAACAAAGGTTGTTAGGAAGTACTCACTTATGGCTCTCAATAACTTGATTATCTGTAGATATACTTAGATATAAAATATAGATATAAGTTCCAAACAAAATGTTTCAAAATTAGTTCGTAATCTAAAGGATAGGTCTTTGTTGGAGCGCAAGTCAGCTGCTGCACATGAAACTGTACCTTAAAGACAGCAAAACTTTATAACTCCTTTAAAATTTCGCTCAATAGGTATTTTATTTTACTGCTGGCTTTTATCAGCAGTAGTTATTCACTAATATGCTTTTATACTAGTGGTGTATAAACAAATTAAGACTCATATACTTTCATACCTAACTTTGGCAGAACTGTAACAACTTTCTCTTAACATTAAGTATAATGTGTTTTTGTACTTAAGGAGTTTGTTAACAATGTTGTATGTGATGTACTTACTTACAACTTAGCTCTTGTTATTTTTCTCTGAATTTTCAAAGAACAATGCTATTCAAGATCCAGTTTTGTAATTTAGTTATTTCATTTTCAATTATATATGAATGTATAAGAACTATAATCCATCTTCCTATTTTGAATATTATTCCAATATTTATCTCATAATGAATCATAGTCGTTTGAATAAAAGTTTTTGAGTATGATTACTCCTTTCGGGAAAACCTGTTTTTTATTCTTTGCATTCATAACAATAAAACTGTCAATTGATTAAATATATGTATACTTTATTAACTAAAATCGCGGGTTACTCACGTGAATATACTGAGAAAAGATCTACTAGTTTCGAACCACAGAAGGGTTCTTCTCAGCTCAGTGATATAGTATATGTATACTTTGTCACATAACTTTTACTTAAAATATTTTTAATTTCGTATTTTAGCAAAACTCTCCTGATGTTTTAGGTGTCCATGGGCAACGCCGATTGCTTACCATCAGGTGATCCATCAGCTGGTTTACCGGCTTATCCAATAAAAAAATTTTAGCAACTGACTCTGACAAATCTGTATCTTTTAAACTGTAATATTGAAATGAAATTGAATGGTTGTTACTTCGAGTTAACTCTTAAGACCATCGCAGCCTATCAGAGAATTGTTGCAAACGGTTGATGGAACTTTCAACTAAAATAAAATAACTGTACATAACAAGTACTTTTATGAAATATGAAATGAATAAATGTGTTCATCACTTAATTACTAGGTGCTTGCTGTTCATGCACAGTTACCTGAGTTACCTTCTACACATGTTTGTTAAGCATGAAGTGTTTCAATTAAAAATGTCTGGTTGAATTGAATTAATTAGGTATTTAGTTACCTTGTATCACTGGTAAAATATGGCTTAGTGTTTCCATTTTTTTAAATATGTTGGAGGAAACAATTGTCGGTTTAAAAGTTAAATAGGAGTTATGCATTGTTTTCAAGGAGCCGCGGAGGACTTAACGAGTTGCCGGGGCTCCGGCTCGAAGGGCAGGAGTAGGAACGGGGTGGTTTTTAGTCAGTAAGAGTCTGACACTCCTTCCCGCCTCACATATGCGGGAGAAGTTATTGGATGAATTTCCCCCCCTAAAAAATGCGTTATTATAAAGTTTGCAGTTTTTTAATGGTAAAATTTTTTTTCTTCTTTGGCAACCATGATTTAATATTAATATTGTTTTACCGTAAACGATCTGACGGATTGCCTGATGGTATCGGTGACGCCCTTGGACACTTGGATCACCAAAAGAGGTACAAGTGTGTTGCGAGTCTTTTAGGAATTGTTGGATTTTTCATTATCCTTATTAAGCACCTAAGTAAAAGTCCATCTAGTTTTTATGGAATACTGTAAGATGTCAATTCGAACTCTCGAAATGACCTCTATCGCATTCTCGCCCGTCATTGGTCGAGATTATTCTCACATCCAAAGACATAGCGGACCGCGATCTAGAGGTCTTTATAGAATTGACATCTTACAGAATAGTCTACCTGGATATGTACTTCGAAACGAAGCCGTTGAAGAGTATAACTAACTATAATACAAAATGTTAACTAAGAAGTACCAAAAATCGTCTAAAAATTGCGACTAAAATAATGAATTCGGTGACCTTAAGGTGGATGGATGATGATCTCAAATGCCATTTTGTCGCTAGATGGCGTAACTTCCACAATTTGGAACATTTTCACGTTTTACGCCTAACTTCGAAATCTTTAATAGATAACTTTATTGTTCGCGAAACCTAGGGCATTAACTTGATTTTTTAGATAGTCGTTGTGCTTGTTATCTGGTCTCATACAAAGATTACTACAAAATAAAGATTTAGCCGCTTCACTTTACTGTTTACACACACATGCAAAGTAAATAGTAGTAACTTTCGACACCACCAGATGTCGTTATACTATAAAAATATTAATTTACATACTTGAAATTATGTTCCCATCTATTTCTTATTAGTATAATAATTGGTCTAATTATACTTTTGTTTCTAGACTCGATATCTAGCAAATTATTCATAAAATTTATTTTAGGTAAAATAGGTACCTACACTGTACACTATATACTATACCCCTAGACCCTACACCTGTCGCGGAGAACCTAACGGGTAACCGGGGCTCCGGCTCGACGTGCAGGAAAAGGAACGGGGTGGTTTTTAGTCAGTAAGAGTCTGACACTCCCTTCCGCCTCACCCAGGCGGGAGCAGTCATTCGATGATTTTCCCCCCTTAAAAAAAAAAAAAAAACAGACCCTACACCTAAAAAATTGTTGTAATGTGACTGAACCTAAATTGTAATGTGTAAATAGTGACTTTACTAAATAAATAAATGAAAGACTATTTATTCCATTGTAAAGCTTTTTATTGTACCTTACTATAAATTAATAATATTTATTTAGTAAAACTAAGTTAACATTTTCATAAAATAATCGTTTTATTTACTCTCACTACATTTACTTAGATAGTTTCCATCTGGATTCAAACCATGGAGTCATACCACCATACAAAGATAACATAATTTTTTAATTGTTTTGATATTTACTTAGTTTTATAATTTTAAATTTAGTATTAGAAAGAATTATTATGTATGTAGATCACAATATAAATAACATCATAAGTATATATAACGGCACATGTAAGTTTGCAAGTATCTTACATTTATTTATTTCAATTAATTAGTATAACATTACAGTCATAAAACCAACAACAAGTGGTTGCTAGCTAACCATAACATTTATTTATGTTTCAAGAATACATGTTTATTATACAATTTTGAACTTAAATAAATAATGTTTTACAATTGAATTGTTAGGCTGGTACCTAAATGCATGAGGCAAACTTATATACACAGAAAAATCTTATGGACTAACAAAATAACACAAACTATACATCGCACAAGTGGTTGCTAGCTAACCATAACATTTATTTATGTTTCAAGAATACCTATTTATTTTACAATTTTGAACTTCAATAAATATTGTTTTACAATTGAATTGTTAGGCTGGTACCTAAATGCATGAGGCAAACTTATCTACACAGAAAAATCTTATGGACTAACAAAATAACACAAACTATACATAGCTACGTGCAAAAATAGCTTATTAATTATTCTATAATGTACACAAAGCAAAGTGCCGGCTTGGATTCGAACAATCAACTCGTACCACCATACAAAGATTCTTATATATATTATAATAAAATGTCTTCTTTTTGCAGTCACCGCCGCCACCGCCGCTCCATATCAGTCTTCTGTTTATCGCTTTTTACTTCCATTTATAATTTCCGTGCAATCTGAATCAAATGCTGGAAGACGCAGTTTTCGCTGCAACAAATGAATTTACACAGTTTTGTTAGACTATTCTTACTGAACCCACACCTCAGAGCCCTGAGAAATAAGTTATGAAATGAATAAGACTTATATTTTTATACCTTTTAATTCCTTGATGTCCAGACATTTAGCATTTTTCTCAACTCTTCTCAAAATAATTTCCGGCAGTACACATCTTTCAAAAACTGTCACCAACTTCGGCATCATAGTACTGATAAATTCCTCATTCTGGTTAACTTCTATGACAGTCAATGGTTGGGTGACTGATATATAGCAAATGAAGTAACATTTATTCATTTTGGTAATTCGCAATTGACCCTGGACCTAGAATCAAAATAATAATAGCTGTTAAAAAGAAACAATCCAAGAAATACATTATTTTTATACATACATACCAAGAAATAATGATATTTGATAATAATGAAATAATAATAATGATATTTGATAATAATGATATACTTACTTGATAATAGTAAT